GCAGTGGGTGAGTCAGGAGAGGTCTGCTGTGCCATGTGGGTAGCTCCTGGCTGGGAATTGAACTCATGCTGCAGTGGCTGTGGATAGCTTCATAGGTTGCGTCTTAATCCCTTGTGCCACAGGAGCCCCCCCGGACTATTTTTTTTTTAATATAATTTTTTTAAGATTTATTTATTTAGGGCCTCCCAGGTGGCGCAGCGGTTGAGCGCTGGGTTGCGAAGCTGCCAGCAGCTTCTGCAGTGCCGGTTTGATTCCCGGCTGCTCCCCGGCCATCGGAGGAGGGTCCCACATGGCGCGCAGACATCTGCCGCCCGCTGCTCCCCTCAGCAGTGTACCTCAGTCCTTCTGCCTGCTCTGCTCCCTGCTCTGGCTCTGGTGAATTCTCTCACCCTCCTGCGCTTCTGACTGTACCCAGTGCTTGTATAAATAAATAAATCTTTAAAAAAAAAAAAAAAAAAAAGATTTATTTATTTATACAAGAACTGGGATACAGGTCAGAAGTGCGGGAGGGTGAGAGAATTCACCAGAGAGAGCAGGAGCAGGACAGAAGACGCTACTGCCTGGGAGTAGCAGGCAAGGCAGGAGAGGTCTGCCACACCATGTGGTTTCTCCCTGGCCAGCCAGGAATTGAACCTGTGCTGCAGAGGGTGCGGACAGCTTCACAGCACATTGCTCAACCTGCTGTGCCACCGGGGAGGCCCCATACCTGAACAATTTTAAAGACAATTTCAGATAGTCAACTTCACTCTTAAGCCTCTCAGCATGTATCTGTATTAAGGGCTTTAAATTTTTCTTCCTTTAAAAGATAGGTGTTTTTCTTTTCAGTTTGTAATTTTTTGCATTTTACTTTCCTTTGGGAAAAGCCATGGGCTTCTCCCAGGCAAGCTGTGTTTTGCAAGGGGAGGCTGAGCTCGGACCAGCACATCATCATCTACCCATTTCCTGCCATGATGGCAAACCCAGGTGCTGTGTCCATTGCCCCTGTGTGGTTATGGGGCTGTGGTCATCTTACAGGATGGATCAAGGCTGGCCAGGGGCATACCATGAAGTCACCCTTCGAGTCTCAAGGATCATGACCTGAAACAAATGAGCAACGGCTTATTTCACCAGCAAAATGGATTTATTTGTAAAGTACAACAAAAAGGAAATTTAGAAAGTGCAGTTTCGTGACAAGATACATGTCTGCTTCCCCAGATCAAAAGCCAGTACCCCCTTAGATAGCTTTTGAAGGGTCTGCTGCTAAATTAAGAGGACTTTTTCCCTTTCCCCAAGTTAGGGAAGCAACATCACTTCCCGTGGGAGATGCAGGACCAGTGGGATTCTGTAGCTTGCCAATTGTGCAAGCCTGCAAACTTCTGTAGCCTCCCTACTTCATTTAAATAGGATTTCTGTAAATTGATTTCTATACTTGAGAATCTTCATCTGCAAATTGTGAATTAGTATATCACTAATTGGGGAGCTCCACCATGGGTACAAAAGGAGATCAGTCATCTATAACTTCATAAAGATTTTTTTTAAGTTTTATTGATTTTGCTACTAATTACCTAACTATCATTTGGGGAGTACAGCTTCACACTTCCATATGTGAATGTGCTTTGCCCTCTGCCACGATTCATTGTGCCCTCCCTCCCCATTCTCTCTGATAATCAATAAATTATTCATAAAGTTTAAGAATTATTCCTGGTTTTTTTGCCCATTTGTTCTCTTCGGTTGCAGGTGCTTCCTTCTTCCTGCCCACTCTGCATGAATCATCAGCTGAACAAGTTAGACCAAAACTCTAGAAAATTGAGTTATCTGTTTAATTTAGGCTTTCTTGGCCTTTCCCCCTTTCTCTGCACCTAGAACTTCATGCATTTTGTACTTTTGCTTTAAGAGAGAAGCAAATGATATTGTGGAGGGAATATTTTCTAGGGATTCAGTTACAAGAGTAAGTTTTATTCAAGTGAATTTTTATATCCAAATAAATCCATGCCTTTGGAAAAAACTATATCATAACATCAGTCATGTTGCATAATTTCACTCTCAACTTGTGTGTGAATTGCATCAGCAGGCCTCTTTGGGAACAGTGGAAGTGAGGGCATTGGCTGTGGGCAGGACAGAAATCTCCAGACCTCACAGACCTTGTGGGCGGACACTTCCCGGACCCTTCTCTTTCCCAGATTTGTATGTCTAGAGGGAATGCTGTGCACAGTATATTAAAATCATCTTTTTTCCTTATTCCTTCTAGGTATTATTAGAGTTACAAAAAGAATTGTTAGACTACAAAGGAGTTGGGATTAGTGTTCTTGGTAAGATTTACTTTTGGATTCTGTGAATATCCAGCTTTCAAATGTATCTAATTTAAATGTATCAAGCCTAGAAGTTTCACAGGGTCTTCTGTAGACCTTTCATAGATAGATTTTAAAATTTTAATAGCTCCGGTTGCATGTTCAGTAGAAGTAATTTTGACACCTGCATAAATGATGGTGAGGGGTTCATCCAGCTCAGCTCACTGTTGCATAATTGGTTTTTGCTATTTATAGGATCTGAGATCAGAAGATACTATAAATCTGCAGAACAGTGCCCCAAACATTTATTATACTGCTTCACATTCAACTTACAGTTTTTTCCATATTTTAAAATGAACTTGTTAAAATTTAAAAATACAGGTGCCTTTAATGAAGGTCTTGCACATTAATAATGTCATTGTCTCCTCTCTCTATATTATTGGGGAAAGGACGTGTGAGTTCTAAAATTCATTTTCTTTTATTTAATTTTCCTTTGCCTTTTTTGGTACTTCCAAAGGCTGCCCTATATAGGCGATTGTAGGGTGAACTGTGTGCTCATTGCTATTAAATTTTGTTCCTGTGGGTTTGGGACATGCACTTAGGTTTCTGTGAAGTAAGAGTGTCCCATGGAATTTGGGCTGTTGTCCTAAAAAGTAGCCATTTCACACAGTTTCCTGTTTGTGAGAAATTACAGAGATCAAAGGATGAAATAGTAACTGGTTCATTCAGTGAATTTGCCACCTGACAAATTCTGCTGTGAAATTAAGGCTACAGTGTTTGCAACCTGAAAAGCAAATTGGATTTTCCCCTAAACAAGTGAGCCTTGGCCCACCATCTGAATACAAAATCACTGAAATTTCCCTTTATTATTTTACTTGCAAAGTTTGTGGTGACTTCTAAAGTTACTTCTATTCATTGGATTTTGAACTGGAACTCATGTTGTTTATCTTTCCTTCTACAGAAATGAGCCACAGGTCATCAGATTTTGCTAAGATTATTAACAACACAGAGACTCTTGTGCGGGAATTATTGTGAGTGTGACATTTTAAAGGCCAAAGTGCCTCTTATTTATAATCTAAACACCAGGGTGTTTGTTACTTCCTTTATGATTTTCTGCATGTTCAGAATATAATTTAAAAAAAAATCTAAGATTCTTCCAAATTCACTCCATGAGTACATAATGCTTTTAACTTGCTCCTCATCCTGTTTTTGTGTATTTTTATTTTATGTAGTGTTTCCAAAGGTTTGAAATCCTTAGCTCTAGGAAAGAGTTTCAGCACTGTGGAAGTGAAACTAGCTTAAAAGGGATTTAGATGACAAGAAATGGTCCTCTTTGTCTGCATCATTAATTATAGTCTAGTTCACTGATTCTTAAAATGTGGGCCTGTCTACCTGTCAGAATTAATTATCTGGTTGGGGGAAATATTAAAATATTCAAGTGCTGGATCCATCAGTTAGGGTCCACACTTGCATTATTTTATTAATAAAATTGGAGTTGTACCAATGATTTCATAGCTTTCCCAATTTACCTTGGTAAAATTGTTAGGTGGGGCAGACTAGGTGGCATTTTCTGAGAGAGCAGTAGAAACTCATGGCAGTGTGAGTGTTGAGGACTGGTAGCATCTGCTTGGCTTCACCACCTGGTCTGCCAATTGGGTCCCTGTCATGTTCACAGAACAGTCCTGGCCTTCCTGGAGGACCTTTTAGGAGCATTGGCCCATGTGGCTTTAAGCCCCATGACTATGGGCCTCTAACTGGACTCCACACTCAATTATGGGGCTAGCCCTTCTCTAATCAAGTTCCTTCCTTGTATCTAGGCCTGTCTTGTGCCCTTCCATCAATAGTTGCCCTTGTTAACTGCCTGTCTTCTGAATAACATAGACCTGGAGCTCAGCCTTATGCTGCTAGTTCTCCCAGCTGCTGAAGCTCATGGGTAGAGCCTCTGAAAGCCCATCTGCATGCCTTGCTGCCCTACTAAACACAGGCATAGACAGATGCTGTTGAGAACCAGATATTTACATACCACCTACCCCCCCATGCCCTCTTACGTTGCCCTGTTCTTTGGTACTTGATGTCCCTCTCCTGGAGCTCTAAATTCTGATCTTACTAAAAGGCTTCGGTCTAGTTCCATGGCCTTGTCCCTTTGGGACTGGCTTTATTCTACTACTTATAGCCATTCTAAATATCAGCATAATTTTCTATGTTGGAGTCAAAAAGTTTCACTGTTAATCTCCATGTATATCTGGTATGTGGTTATACAATTAAACCTAAAACATGATTAAAGATCCTCTCCAGTGTTCACTTGGTTCATAGCATGATACTTGTGGATACTCTTAGGACTTTAGTTACGAGTGACTGAAGCCCAACTCTTGGCTAAAGCAAAAAAGGGAGTGTGTCACCTCACATAACAGAAGTGACATGACAGAAAGGTGATGTCATGAAGACTTTTTCTCCAACATCTGACTCTCCTTGGTTATGTGTTAGTTTTACCAGGAGGCCACCAGTGGTTGCTAGATTAACTCCTATGAGTTTATTCTTTTCCTCAATTGAAACAGTTTTTTTAAAAAGATTTATTTTATTTATGCATATAATAACTGGTGTGCAGGCCAAAGTTGCAGGGGGTGAGAGGATTCACCAGAGGCAGAATAGGGAGCAGAACAGGTGGATCTACTGAAATACACTGCTGAGGGGAGCAGTGGGTGAGACAGGAGAGTTCTGCTGAGCCATGTGTGTTAGCTCCCTGGCTGGGGATCGATTTCATGCACCAGTGGCTGCTGATAGCTTGATAGCACTGAGACTTTAACCCCTGCACCACCAGGGAGGCCCAAGTGATACAGTTTTTCTCCCAGAAGTTTAATCAGAGGTCTCAGAACCAAATCCTGTTGGCTATGCTGTGTCGTGTGCTCATTCCCCACATCTGGGGTTCAATAGTGGCCGACCTTGTGGACTGAGATGCAGAGGGGCCACTTCCTAAAAGAACACTGAGGTGTTACTAGCTTCTGTCCAAACAATACTCGTAACTTCCCCCTCAGGGTCCAATAGTTGTCTGGGATTGCATAGATACATGACTGAATTGGGGAAGGCAAAGTGGGAGTAGAACTTTATCATATTTCTTGTAGCATATAAAGTACTAACGATTTATCACATTCTCTATCCTTGATTTTGTGAATCTATGTATTTGCTATGATCTGTGCTTCTGCCCAGAGCCATTCCAGACAACTACAAGGTGATTTTTGTGCAAGGAGGTGGATCTGGCCAGTTCAGTGCTGTTCCCTTAAACCTAATTGGCCTGAAAGCAGGAAGGTGTGCTGACTATGTCGTGACCGGAGCTTGGTCAGCTAAAGCTGCTGAAGAAGCCAAGAAGTTTGGGACTGTGAATCTCGTCTACCCTAAACTGGGGAGTTACACAAGTAAGTGCTGGGAGCTGAGCTGTGGACTGAGGATGGTGGTCCCTATTCAGATATCAGGTATCCCTCCTAAGGAAGTCTGCAATTTTTAATTCTTTTCTCACCTTGTCAGTAATTAGTTTGATGCCATTTGGGTTGGATAGTTGTCCTAAGTTAAGACTATTAACTGACGGCTGTAGAAACTCACTTAGCTGAAAAGCCCATGGGATGGTTTGGTTTTAGGTATGGCTTGATCAAGGGCCTCAATAATGTCCCCAGGTCCTGGCCCTGTGTCCTTCATGATAGCTCTATAATCAGGAAAGCTGTCCCATCCTTTTTAGAGGAAGACTTGCAGCTACTCAGGATATTGTTGAATTCTGTCAAATTTTATGCATCTGCTGAAGCATTCCCAATAACAGCCCCATGTGTCCTAAACCAAATTAGTTACCTGGTCATGCTTAAGTCGAATGCTACTTTTGGGTCTGGAACCACGTGGACTGAGGGTTAGGAAAGGCTGGGTCTCTAAGAGGAAACTTTTGACTATCAATAGACAAGAAAAATGAAATATCCACCATGCCTTTCTTAAAGAGATCTTGTCTCCCAATAGTAGTTGGAGTGTAAGATCAATCCTATAGGTGGTGACTGTTATGCCAGGTGAATAAGTGCTTTTGTTTGTGAATTTGTTGGAATCAGTCTTTGACTTCTGGGTAGGGCTGTTGTTCCTGGTTGAATCCCATTCACCTAAGGAGAAAGGAGTGAAAGTGAAGTCTCTAACTTGTTTTCCGTGGTAGAAATTCCAGATCCCAGCACCTGGAACCTCAATCCTGATGCCTCCTATGTGTATTACTGCGCCAATGAGACTGTGCATGGAGTGGAGTTTGACTTTATCCCTGATGTCAAGGGAGCAGTGCTGGTTTGTGACATGTCCTCAAACTTCCTATCCAAGCCAGTGAATGTTTCCAAGGTAGAGTATAAAAAAGGTGGGCTGGGGATACAGGGTTTTAATGTTCACTAGAGCAGGAGGGGCTAGGAGAATCTTGGTCCGGGGGTTCCTGCCCACAACAGCTGTCTGTGAGCAGGCTGACAATTGCATGTTTCTTGTGGGTTGTCAGAATGGTTAGGTGCTGGGGCAGCAGCACCGCCTCCCCGGTGGCGCAGCAGTTGAGCGCTGGGTTGCGAAGCTGCCCGTAGCCTCTGCAGCTCCGGTTCTATCCCCAGCCACTGGGTGAGGATCCCACAGGCCACCGGGTGAGGGTCCCACATGGCGCGCAGACCTCTCCTGCCGCCCGCTGCTCCCCTCAGCAGTGTACTTCGTCAATCTGCCTGCTCTGCTCTCCTCTCTGACTCTGGTGAATTCTCTCACCCTCCCGCGCTTCTGACTGTACCCAGTGCTTGTATAAATAAATCTTAAAAAAAAAAAGATTAGGTGCTGGCACTCCCCGTGCCGAGTTAATGATGGCCTCACAGGGCACATTTGTCCTTGGGGAACTTACCTATCTTTGAGAGTGGCTCTTAGAAGACTTTTTTGGTGAGCATATTGGGAGTGGCTTGTTTTCTTTAAGGGAAGATGCCAATTTTACCAAGCTTAGGAAGCCTAAAGGAGCCTCAGCTGCCCTTGTACCTACTAAGAGCATTGACAAGACATACAGACATTCCCAGTGGCACCCCAAGGCAGGCAGTGCACCCAGGTGCATGCAGCAAAGGAGTATAAGGCCTTTAAGGCATTTGAAAATGTGCCAACTAAATGGTTGTATGCCTTTTTGAAAAAAATTGTGGTAAAGGGGTCCTCCCTGGTGGCCTAAGGGTTAAGCCTCAGCACTGTTACTACGATAGCCTGAGTTCGATCCCCAGCAAGGGAACTAACCCACATATGATGCAGCAGACCTCTCCTGTCTTGCCCACTGCTCCCCTCAGCAGTGTATTTCAGTAGATCTACCTGTTCTGTTCCCTACTCTGTCTCTGGTGAATCCTCTTACTCCCCACACCTTTGGCCTACCCTAGTTCTTATATACATAAATAGTAAATAAATTAAAAAAAAAAAAAAGAAAGACAAGTAGTAGCCCCATTTTAAAGACTGGTTTGGATGTCAAAAGGCTGTCCACAGAGTGAACATGAGTATGTGTGAGATCTTTACAGTAATAAACTTAGGTTAGCATCTTACCAGTGAGAAGGAGCAGGCCGCTAAGTAATCTGCAGGCCTCCGAACTCTCAAGTATTGATCTGCTATCCCAGATAGAGAATCCTTTAGACAGTGGAAAGCACTCTGAACAGGCCTGGAATAGAATCATTTTCTCCTAAGAATTGTGCTTTGAAAAGAGGTTGGGAAGTTTGAATACATTGATGAAAAATGACTCAGTGCTTCTAAAATAGCTCGTGTTTTTTTTTTCTTTTTCAGTTTGGTGTGATTTTTGCCGGTGCCCAGAAGAACGTGGGGTGCGCGGGGGTCACGGTGGTGATCGTCCGTGAGGACCTGCTGGGCTTTGCACTCAGAGAGTGCCCCTCAGTCCTAGACTACAAAGTGCAGGCTGGGAACAGCTCCTTGTACAACACTCCCCCGTGCTTCAGGTAACTTCTGGCTTCAGCTGGTGGAGGGGCTTTTGCTTTGCCATCACAGCAGAGGGGATTTAAAGTCGGGCATGAGTCCATGAACCGGTGACCCCAGATAGCCTATCAGGAATCTTTGCTCAGCTCACCACCCCTCTGTGCATGTTATCCTCTGTGCACTGTTTGGTCAAGTTTCCTTTCAGACCTTTCTTTTTTTGGGATGGTGTTTTTGTTTGATCTTGGTAACCTTGGTTCACCATTAACCCCAAAACTCTCTGCAGATGTGGTGTTATTGCTGCCTCTCAAACAAGCAGGGCAGCCTTGGAGAAGGACTTTCAAAGGTCATGCCTCCCTCCTGGATTTCTTTCTCTCTGGACTGCATGAAGCTGCCTATTTGGCAGTAAACATTACTGACTTGGAACAAATACTTTTTTGGTTTTTATCCCAATTTGCAGGGGTCCTCTTGGCTTGGCTGCTGTTAGCTGAGTGAGAAGAGTGCATAGCAGTGCTTTTGGTTGCTCTGCCCATGATCTTATGACTTCCAGATTCAGGTGTTTTGTGAAAATCCTTATGCCACCTAGGATTTAATAAATGCCAAAGAGGTTTTGCTACTTAATTAGCTGTGTGACCTTGGGCAACTTGCTTAACCCATCTGGTACACAGCAGGCTCTTTGGGAGTACTAGTAGCGCCCTCCTCATTTGGTTGCTGCGAGGATTCAGTGATGTAGTGTGTAGTCAGTCCTCACTTAACATCGTTGAGGGGTTCTTGTCTGACTTGACGTGAAACACCATAGAATGAAGCCATTTTGACCAGAGGCTAATTGATGTAAATGAGTTAAGTTCCAGCGGCATATTTCTGATCACGAAGGTATCACTAAACTTCTACAAAGACTATAGACATTTCTAATAATGAACAATGATTTGTTTTTATTCATTTGTTCATTTTCCAAATCACTTAATACCAGCTCAGGGTCTCAGGTGCCAGAGCTCATCCGTCTGGGGATGTGGACATGCGCCCTCATCAGGGACAGGCAGGGACCAGCTCTGGACAGGACACCCTTCCATCGCAGGCCCACTGTGCCCCACCCATACTCACTCAGGGCTGGGCAATTTAGACACACCAGGGGACCTAATGGGAACACCTTCAGGGTGTGGGAGAAAACTGGAGACCCTAGAGAACACCCATGCAGACATGGGGAGAACGTGCTAACTCCACATAGAGGATATTAACATATTTGATTAAAATCAAGTCAGTGTAAAAGGTGAGCGACTGGGTTAAACACCCCCTATAAGTTGCATTGCTTCTTTTATCTCAAAAGAAAAGGAAAAAAGTGTTAAGTCTGTAAAACTGAGCAATTACCCTAAACTCTGACTTAAAAAAGAGATCACTTGTAGTATTTAAACATTCTCAGTCAGAGAATAGTAGCTCACCCAGTGAAACATTCCCTTCAAATAGGAACATAAAGCTTCTGGCAAAACACCCTCCCTGATCCTTGAGAGTAAGTGATAGGGCACCCAGAACACTTCAGAACTTTGTATCACGTAGAAGCCCTGGAAAAGGTCCAAGTTTGAAAAGAAGGCTTTTTTTTTTTTTTTTTCCTTTGAAAATCAGAGCCAAAGGACCATAAGCCGTGGGAAGTCTGTTTGAACTGTGCTGGATAACTGGCCCTCACATAGTTCCCTGTAACCCTGAGCAGTGAATTGGGTTGGAATAAAGAACGCATAGTCACTCTGTTTAACCCTTTAGGAGAACATGCTAAGCCCAATTAGAGGATAAGCCAAAGATGTGAACCTTCCCTTCTAATCCCACAAAATAGTTTTTACTTAGCATGACTAACAGGACCCATAGTGTATAAATATAAATTGGTTTAAGCTGTAGAATGAGGTAAAGTAACTAGTAAGGAACAGAGACCTAACCTAGACCAACTTTCTCATCAGAATGGGGGTGAGTACCAACCCCATACTGCCCTTCTCTGGCTTGGGAGGAGGGGGAAAGCCTGGAGTCCGGGAATCCAAGGACTGAGCAGGACAGCCAGCTGGGGGAGCTTTTTTCTTAGAAAAGTGCTCAGCTCGATTACTTTTCACGTGATGTCTGCGAAGTATCTGCTTTTCTGAATGACCCTCAGGCATGGAATCCAGCTGGTTCTAAATCTGGCTTCACGACCCACTTTTGTCTGCATCTAGTGATGTTTTTAGTCCAACTTAAAGAACAGTTTGCTTTGCAAAGCTGAACTAAGTGGATTTATTTTTTTAATTCCTGGTTTTAGCATCTATGTCATGGGCTTGGTCCTGGAGTGGATTAAGAACAATGGTGGTGCCGCGGCCATGGAGAAGCTCAGCTCCATCAAGTCGCAAATGATCTATGATATTATTGACAACTCTCAAGGATTCTATGTGTAAGTGGATGGATTTATTTCACATTTTGCCTCTCATGAACGTAAAAAGGTGTACATGCTGGGTATCTTTGAAAAATGGATGTGTTCCCCTTTCTGGAGATGTTGAAGTGCTGTGAGCTAGGTGCTCCCATGTCCCATGAGCAGAAGGCTAGTCCTATATCTCCACAGCAGGACTCCCAGGTCTCTGTCTTGGTGGGTAGTGATGGGCCCTGAGGATGATGCCCAGACCCCTTCTTCCACTCCCTGCTTCATATGCCCCTGGGAAAAAGCACATTTACTTGCTGGAAGTTCCCAAATTTACCTGAAGATGCCTACTAGATACCCTTGGTATAAACACCCACTACTGGCTCCTTCCTCTGGGCTAGTTAGCCTTTTTAGGGGCATTTACTGCCTCCCCATCCCAGGCCTGTGGTCTGTGAATGGAATGACTGTGGATAATTGACTTGTAATTAAATGTTTTTATAACTAGTTGATTCGCTCTGTATTGACCATGTACTTTCCTGTGTTGGGTAGAGAAGCATGTGGACCCTATATTCATCTCCTAGGGTCCTGGAACAAAGTACCTCAAACTGGGTAGCTTATTCTTAGTGTTCTTAGAGTCAAATTTTGATATCAGGGTTTTAGCAAAGCTCTGCTGCTTCCAGATACTACAGGGGAAGGTACTGATCCATGCCTCTTCCGGTCTCCGGTGGCTCCAGGTGTTCTTGTCTTGTGGCTGCCTCCCCCAGTCTCTGCCTCTGTTTTCACATAGCCTCTTTGAGTGTCTTCTGTCTTTGATAAGGACAGGTCCTTGGATTTGGGGCCTGCCCAGATAATCTAGGAGAGGTATGTAGTTTAATTAAATCTGCAAACACCGTTTTACCAAAGCAGTCACATTCACAGGTTCTGGGTGTTAGGACATACATTTACCTTTCTGGGAGTCACCATTCAACCCCTACTCTAGATACCTCCTCAAAATGTCAGATGTGAAGCACCTAGTACAGTGTCTTATTTCCTCTCCTTGAAGAAGGGGAGGGGACAGATGTACGGGGACTAAACTTTATGGTGTGTGTGTGTGTGTGTGCACACATATGTGTATTTATGTGTTTTATATACATAAACATACTTTCGAAGTCAGAACCCCTTTAGTGGCCCTTACTCTTGGGATTTGGTCTATAGTAACGAAAATATCTGGCTCATAGTAATGTGGGAACTCTTTAAGAATTCAGTGAGCCACATGGCAGAGGTAAACAATGCTCTGATCTTAACTAGTAACCACCCATGAGTGGGGGTCGTGGGAGTACTTTTGGACAGCTAGGGTAAAGCAGCATGCTATCTTAAAGTTCTTGGCATGCAGTGACATTTTTTTCTTGTTCTGTGAGTCTCTGCAACAGAGGCAAGTCCAGACTCTGATATATGACACCACCAGCACTTACTGGAGCCATTTTAACATGTATAGATGGTGTAAGGAGTTCATAGCTTAATGGTTAAATGTGAGTCATGAATTTGGTGCAGGAAGATAGTCTTTGGCTGGAAATAACGAGATGCCTTTTGGATGAGCTTGAGCCTTGAGTGCCAATAGATTTAGGAGGGCAGAAGTATTTTTTTAAAAGATTTACTTATTTATGCATACAAGAGCTGGGGTACAGGCCAGAGATGCGGGGCTGAGAGGATCCACCAGATAGAGTGAGGAACAGAACAGGCAGATTGACTGAACTACACAGCTCAGGGGAGCAGTGGGCGAGACAGGAGAGGTCTGCTGGGCCATGTGGGTTGCTCCCTGGCTGGCTGGAGTGCTTAACCCCTTGCGCCACCAGGGAGGCCCGAGGGCAGAAGTATTTTGAGGAGTTTTTAGAAAGGCAGGAAATGGACTCTGCCACTGAGAGAAAAGCTTAGGAGTGGGCTGCCTGAAGAGGGTGACTTGTGCTGGAATTGGAAAAGCAGTCAGTGGAAAGGTTCAAGGACTTACTTAATCCACTTCCTCATTTACCTGCTCTTTTATCTTCCCACCCATATACCTACCAACCTACCCACCCAGACACCCACCTCGTCCTCCCTCTCTCCCTCCCTGTAAATGACTCCTAAGCAGCAACTCTGGACTAGCCATGTATAGACTCTGGGGGTACCCAGAAGAAAAAGTTATCTTTTCTGACTCAAGAATACCCAGAACCAGGATGTGAGTGAAAGCCCTTGGCTACTGGTGTGAAGGGGGAGAGCAATTTTTTTAAGCTTTTAGCTCCATGAATATTTCTCAGGAGATGTTTAGGCAAAATGTAGAAGGACAGAAAGAATGGTGATGTTTCTGAGGAAAATCTGGGGATTTAGAAACAAAATAAGAAAGAGTCTGCTGCTGGAAAGTCCCTGAAATTCTTTCCCCCTGCAAGCTTTTAGCTCTAAGCACTCACCTCTGGGCCTTTTCCAGAGGGCAGCCTCCTCCTAGGAAATCTGATAACGTTCCACCCAAAATGCATCAATTACTTATTTGCGACCCCTGCCACAGATCTTGTGTCCTCTTCAGAATAAACTTCTTTCTGGTAACGTCTGTCCACCTCCTGGGCTGCTTGCCTGGCAGTGACATCCTGGCTTGTGACATTCCTGTGGGACTTTGTTAGTCAAGAGCAGGTTTCCTCGCTGGCTCTCCTCAGAAACCGCCACTAGCTGTTTCTGTACTCACTGAGTTTTCAGAAAATTCTTCACTCTACTTTTGAACTAAGGAAATAATTAAAACATTGATAATCCATTTAAACAAAAATTGCAGTTAATATTTACATCACACCTTACTCAAAATAAGTTCTAATCAGTCAAGATCTAAATGCAAGAGACAAATATTAAAGTAGTATAAAGAACTATAGGGAAGATTTTCTGTTTATGCGTAGGGCGTATAGAAGGCCTTCCTATAAATAAGCCATAAAATAAAGGACATATTTAATTACCAAAAAATTAAGTTTTTTTAATCAGCTTAAGACATCAGCAACAGAATTAAAACAAATGACAGACATGAGAAAATTTCGTAGTATATAACATATAATTTAGCTTACTTGTTACAGGCAAGTAACCTAATAGACAATTAATGAAAAGAAATAACCAAGTGAAAGTGTGGGGTTGGTTACTAATGGTCTGGGTAAACAACTCAAAAGAAATGTGGCTGTCTAATAGATAAGGTGATGCCAATTTCTATAGGAAGTGCAGATTAAAACCAAAGGTTTTTTTTTTTTTTTTTGGTCTGATTAACGAAATGACGAAGATTGACAGCATTGGGTGTTGGTAAGGGAACACACTTTTGGTGTGTTGAGTATAAATTTGGACAATTTGGGAGCAAAGCATGCAGCGCCTATCAAAGTTCGAAACTGTCTTGCTTTTTGAGGATTTTGACTGCTAGGATCTCCCCTCTGTAAATACTCTGATAAGAGAGGTGTGCGTGAAACTAACACCTGCAAGTCCAGTGCAGGAGCGGTTATGTCGGGGGGAAATCTGGAGACAACCACTATGTCTGCCAGGAGGGCTCAGGAAAGACAGAGGATCCAGCTGTGACCTGGAATAATGTGCACGGGGAGAAAGAAGGGTGAGGGTCTGTGTGAGCACCCACGAGAAGAGGTGATGATGTTATCAGACCAAATGGAAGAAAGCAAGAGGAAAGGGGGAGGTCTCTGCTATTTCTCTTGTAAAACCACCACATTTCTATTTGTGACTACTTCATGTATGTATAAACACACACACATGCACACGCACACACAAACAGATACCTGAGCACACACACATTTGTGTCTAAAATGAAGCAGGCTCCTACCTACCTGTGACTATGCAGATGCCTCTTTTTCTTTCTCTTTTCCTGATAAATGTCCTTTTAAAATGTAAAAAAACAAAAATAAGATAAAATAATAATAGAAAATACAATAAAATGAAATGAAGAAGGCCCACCAGGCTGTTAATGGCAGCTGCCTCGATGGGAAGGGGATGGTAGATACTCGTACTTCCCTTCTAGATGTTCATTTGCAAATTTAAAATGAATTTGCAAATTTAATTTTTTTTTGCATGTTTTTATTTATTTATTTGTTTGTTTGTTTTGTTTATACATGCACTGGGTACAGTCAGAAGCGCGGGAGGGTGAGAGAATTCACCAGAGCCAGAGCGGGGAGCAGAGCAGGCAGAAGGACCCAAGTACACTGCTGAGGGGAACAGCAGGCAGCAGGAGAGGTCTGCGCGCCATGTGGGACCCTCCCCCGGTGGCCGGGGAGCAGCCGGGGATCGAACCAGTGCCGCAGAGGCCGTGGGCAGCTTCGCAACCCAGCGCTCAACCGCTGCGCCACCAGGGAGGCCCTGAATTTGCAAATTTAAAATGAAATTTTTATTTAAGAAATCAGGCAGTAAGGAGAGGTGCAGTAACTATTTTATGGGCTTCTCTCACCTCAGGATGTTCTCCTTATTCCTTCTTCCTTTTGTTTTTGATAAATCCTTGGACATCACAGTGAAGGAAGGATTCCTAGTCGCTTGCCATGGTCTGCCACTTTTTCCAACTACCTTCTTTCTCTCACAGCCTTTGTGAAAGGGGGTCTCTCAGGGAAGTGGTACCTTTCCCCTCACACACTCCCTTCCTCTGCTACCTGGGGGAGGCTGCTGTCCCTCAGCGGGCATTCTGAAGCACCAGTCCTGGATATACAAAGAGCTCTTTAATTCACTATGTTTGGGGAAAACTATTCCTTTATGAATTATCCTCCCGGGGGCTTATAATCTACATAGGCACTAAAGACCCCAAGTAGTGGAGGAGTAATCCAGCCTGTTAATCCAGATTTCCTACATTGATGGAGCCATGGGACAGCTTTTTCAGTAATTCCCAAGACCTTCCACAGCGGCCCCCACCATGGACACACTGCCACACTTTTGTAAGTCTCCGTGGCCTTGCCCTTACCTGCCCTTTGCAGCAACAGGGCCCCACACCAGCCCTGTCTGTCAGCCTTGGTGCTTTCTCTTTGCTGCCTCCCGACACAGTCAGGTCAGGCAGCGCCCCCTGCCTGCCTCTGGAATCTACTGGTAACTCCTGAGCTTACCACATGTGCTTTGGTGAGGCCCAAATGGGGTTTAAAGGGCATAGTTTGAGCCAGTGGTGGGATATGGGAAGCTTATTTAAAAATCTAGATTTCTTGTTACATAATCCTGGTGTCTCCAAAAGTGGGAAAATAGAAACTTTGCCTTTCAAGAAAAAGGGGAGAGCAAGTTTCTCTGTGAAGAATACGTACTCACATTTAAAACGTAACCCAGGGAGTTTGTGCTGCGTCTGTCACTCTGGGCCGGGCTACTCACTTAGGGCTCCTGTTGGCGTTGGAGTTTGTAGCTGATGGTTGATGCTCCCCAATATCCCTGTCAAGGTCACATTTTGACCTACAATGTTCTTTGTAAGCGCTTTCGAGCAGGGCTCTCTGCCTCCAGGTTTATCTACCTACTGGTCTCCCCTCTGAGCTTTAGCTCTTTTGCTGAAACTCAGGTTTCATATTGTGCAATCCCGACAGCTCCTCATTGCTCAAGGATCCCGTCCAGTTCCCAGCAGAGCGCATCTGTAGGGTCCTCCCAACCGGCCCCTGCTCGGCACCCTCCAGCTGAATCACGGAAACTGCTGGGTAGGGGCTTGAGGGCCTTTCTTTGCAGGTGCAGTTCTCTGCCAGGATGCCCTCCCTTTATCTCATCCCCCCTAACGCCTTTTCCTCCTTTGGAAACTTTCTGTCTTCTCTGGGTGTTTCCACAGCTCTGTGCTGTTACAGCACTTCTCACCTGGGATTTCAATTCCTTCCACTGTTGTCTCACTAGATAGGGAACAGTTAAAGCCCCTTAATCGTCTTTCCCTCCGCTCACCCTCATTCTAGAGACATTCTTGGACACTGAGTAAATATTTGCCGCATGGTGATTTAATCTTCCCTGTGTAGCTTTTATGACTTCTTTGCTGAGTTGATAGCCTCTGATTTCTTGATGGGATGGGTTGATTTGGGGTGTGAACTGTAAATTTAATTGATGTATAATTGACATAAGACATGGGGTTCAGGTGTACTGTATAATGATTTGCTATTTGTATAGTTCGGGAAATAATCGCCATGGTCAGTCTTGTTAATATTGGTCACCATAGGTAGTTGCAGACTTTTTTCTTGTGGTAAGAAATTTTAAGATCTACTCTTTCAGCAACTTTCAAATACGTAATATATTACATATGCTGTACATTACACCCCATAGCTTATTTATTTTATAACTGGAAGTTTGTACCTTTTGACCCCCCTTTACCTGTTTTGCTGTAAATACTGTGAGTACAGATTTTGTAGCAGCAGAACAACAGCTGTAAATGGATTCTTAATTCTTCCTCCTATTAATTTTTTCCACTTAAAATTAGATATGCCCTTTGATATTACACCTCTATAATTGGACCCTCACCTTGGGAGCCTGAGGCAGCAGAATATCAAAAGAGAGTAGCCACTGAATTTTTAATTTAAATGTCAAGTACAAAACCTACCACCTCATGAAAAAGGGGGCCCTAGAATTCAGACTCAAAGCCTATTACCAGATATTTGGTTTCCCTTCTTTTGTCTCCTGCTTATAGGTATGCACTTGACTCCTATTAACTTTAACAGAAATGTTGTACACATGCCCTCAGGGAGAATATAACTTTTAATGGGAGCTTTCATGCACTGCTTTTATTTGCTATTTAATTTTAATAAATCCCACCCTGAATGTGTAAGAATAAAATAGGATCTGCTTGAAAAAAATGGAGAAAGAGCATTACTATTACTTATTTCACTTTTCTTTTATTCTAGAGTAGCACGTCAGCTCTTCTTCCATATGTCTCCTTTGGTTGTCAATGGAAAATAATTTTGACTGCCTATTTTCCGTATCAGAAACTAAAATCAAATACTGACCTTGGATAACAACTCATTCCTCATTCATTTCTGAGTCTCTATGATCCCTAGACAAGTTGCTGGGAATAAAAAGATGAATTTAGTGAATTTACCAAATACTTATATAGCATTTCTATGTTCCAACATTGTTCTACATTGTGTCAATAACCTGTTTTCACATCACAGAACACCCCAAGACAGTGACTTAAAACAACATTTTTTGCGTCTGGTTCTTTGGGTCAGCATGTTGGGCCTGTTGGGTCAGCAGGATGGTTCTTTTGCGAGTCTCTCCTGGGGTCAATTATTCAACCAAAGTCTTCTGGTGATTGTCCTGGAGCCAAGGATCTAAAATGGCCTCACTTACAAGTCTGGCACCTGGTGCTGGCTGTTTTCTGAGCTTCTCATTTCGAGCAGATTAGTCTGGGCTTACTGCTGTGGATGCAGTGTTTTAAGAAGGCATAGGCACTGCATCACCGTAACTTGGGCTTGGAAGTTACACGGCACCACTGGTGTTTCATTCTCTTGGTCAAAGCAAATCACAAGGCCCTTCCAGACCTAAAGGTAGAGAACTGAACCCAACTTTTTACAGGGAGGGCTGCAGAGAAGTTGCGGCCATTTTTAAATATATCATAAAAATTTTCTTTAACCATTAACTCACTTAATTCCCAAACCCTATGAGGTAGGTTTCATTATTTTTTCCATTTTCAGTGGATGAGGCACAGCAGTGGATGAGGTCACACACCTTGGGACAATACAGTATGAGAAGTGCTTTGAAAGTGCCTTGAAAGTTCTTGGGTTTTTTTTTTTTTTTTTTTAAAAAAAGATTTATTTATACAAGCACTGGGTACAGTCAGAGGTATGGGAGGGTGAGAGAATTCACCAGAGCTAGAGAGGAGAGTAGAACAGGCAGAGTGATGAAGTACACTGCTGAGGGGAGCAACAGGCGGCAGGAGAGGTCTGCGCGCCATATGGGACCCTCGCCCGGTGGCCGGGGATCGAACCGGCGCTGCAGAGGCTGCGGGCAGCTTCGCAACCCAGCGCTCAACTGCTGCACCACCGGGGAGGCCCAGTTCTTGGGTTTTTTTTGAAGATTTATTTATGCATACAAGAACTGAAGTGTAGGCCAGAGGTGCCAGGGCCGGGGTGGGGGGTGTGGGGTGGGTTCACCAGATAGATTGGGGAGCAGAACAGTTAGATTTATTGAAATACATTGCTGAGGGGAGAGCAGTGGGTGAGACAGGAGAGGTCTGCTGTGCATTGTGGGTTAGCTCCCTGGCCCGGGATCGAACTCATGCCACAGTGGCTGGCAATAGCTTGGTAGCGTTGAGACTTAACCCCTGCACCATCGGGGGAGGCCCTGAAAGTTCTCATTATTTTAAAGTCTTCCTGCCATGATTAAGATCAACCTATCTCCCCCCTACCTCCAAGCCTTGTAGAAAAAGACTCTCACATTGTTGTGTGGCTGCTGTGCATTGGAAGCTTCATATATGCTACACCACTGCACCATCACAGGTAGTGTGAAGTGGTGGTATTATTCCCCAATATTTACATGAGGAAACTGAGGCTCATGGAAGTGAATACAAATCTTCATGAGAAAGCATAATCACTCTTCCATATGCAAAACTGGTCTCCCTATATAAACTATAAATGTCTCGATGCAATTTTTTTTTCCAGTTATCTTGCTTGCATCCAGAAAAAATTTTTTTTTTGAATTGTGTACTGATTTTGATACCAGAATTCCTGGTTTCAGTCCCCTTAACCAATAAAATGAACAAGGTTTGAGGACAAGGAAAGTAGGTTTATTAATTCATTGACAGATGAGGAGAGTAGCAGACCAGAGTCTGAAATACTGTCTTCTTGCTCACTAGCAGAGGGTGGGGGTATTGTACTAGAGTTACAAGGAAAGGAAAGAAGGGTGTAGGCCAGGGCCAGCACATAAGCACATATGTTCTTGCCACATAAGCTCCGGGTGATTTGTTGACATCAGATTGTTTTTGTCACCACCTGTCAGTAATTCTGACATTATCTTTGCAAGATTCCATCCTTGGTTTTATTGTGAAGTGAGGTCGTTTGCCCTCAGAGTGCAAGGAAAAGAAAAACAGGAAGTTAGTAAAACATATAAATCAAGATTTGTTAAATTTAGAGGGGGAAGAGAATGTCTCTCTCCAAAGCAGGGAGGAGTATGTTTCATTGCTGTATCAACTTGTCAGTGTCAGTCTGCACATTTCAGAAAAGTAGCTGGAATAGTAAACATGTTTTTCAGATGTCCAGTGGCGCCCCAGAATAGAAGCAAGATGAATATTCCATTCCGCATTGGAAACGCCAAAGGAGATGATGCTTTAGAGAAAAGATTTCTCGACAAAGCTCTTGAACTCAGTATGATCTCCTTGAAAGGGCATAGGTGAGTATACCCCCGGTCTAGAAAATTGATTTAGTTTTTCACATTCAGAACAAAACAGATCTAGGAGCAGTTACTGGAATAGCAGTTACTGGGGGAAAAACCATTGCTACAGGGGCAAGTCTTCCTCTTGTGGCTTACAGAACCCTGAGCATGACTCCCTGGCTGAAAGTATAGCAGAGCCACATCTTCCGGGGGCTTTGTCAAAATTACCTGGAAAATCTCAAACTGTTCACAGAGGTTGCCATCCCACCTATGATGAGGCTGTACAACCCTGTTGTGGTGTAATAGAGATCTGCTGCTCCGCCTGAGCATCAGATAGAATAGTTATTCCTGCTCACTCTATGAAAAATACACGTCCTCACACATGAGTAGGAGCAGTGACATCCCTGCCTGCAGGGGTTGCCAGCTCCCTGCTTGGCGGGCTCATGACTGGTTTGGTGCATATAATCTCCCACTTCACTTAATTTAGCTTGCATAGTTTAGGCTTGCTTATATGGCTGCTCTGTTTTAAGAAGTGAGGCATAAACACTGTGTCACCTAAATAGCCGAATTAATCTAAGTTCTGTTGTGAGCACAGGGTACTCAGTGCACCAAGGAGAATTTTCTAATGACTGGGATTGTCTGCAGCTCCTGGCCACCTGTGGGGGCTTTCAGGTGGGAGGTTGGTCATGTGGCCTCAAGTGCTGTGCCGAGGGGGTTGGGCGGGTGACTGGAAAGAGGGTTGTCTTAATACTAAGTTAAATGCCTCTGTTCTCCTTGGCTGCATCTTTGGCCATCTTAGGTCCGTTGGAGGCATCCGGGCTTCTCTGTATAATGCCGTCACCATCGAAGATGTCCAGAAGCTGGCAGCCTTCATGAAGAATTTTTTGGAGATGCATCAGCTATGAACCCATTGTAACCAATATAGTGTCCATCTTTGAGCCAGGCACAAAATTTGAAGTAACTTGGGAATGGCTAAAAATCTTAACCAAACACATTTTTTTTTCCCTCTCAAATGAATATGCTTATTATAGATTCTTCTTTTTTTAAATAACAACAGCAAAACATCCACAGCTTTGCTAAGCCTCTGAGACTTAAGGACCACTTAATGCTAACTTGAACTGGAAGCATTAAAAAAAGTCTTCCTTTAGCTTTCTAACACATTACAGCTTATTTTATCTTTTGCTCCTACTTTTTCTAGCTAGTCTTAGTGTTCAGACATCCTCTGTGGGCTTCATTATGCAAATTTTGGTTAATTGTTTTGGAGACTTAAACAAACAGCTTGGAGGGTGGGTGGGGAGGGTCTTCTAGGTGCTGAATCTTGATTCTTTCTAAAATGACAGCAGTGGGGTGTTGCCACCACAGGTGTTAATTCAAGTCAATGCTGACCATGTGTGTTTAGGGGTTCCAGGCTAAAGGCAAACTGTAGATCTTGATATGTATTCTCATAAAGATAAAAAGTGACCTATGTTTCTATAGCAGGTCTATTTTTAATACTGTGTAGTTTATATCTCTATACATTTATATTTCTAATACGGTTCTCGGTATATAGGTAGAGACTTTGAGAATTTGTAGAGTCCTTGACCTTGTGCATAATATTTACATCAGTTATGATCTTTCTCCCCCACCCCCTTCCTTTTTAAGCTGCTTCACAAGATTTAGAAATCCTCCAATTTAATTTCCTTTCAGTAGGTAGAAGACTTGTTGCTTAGTTGTTTTTTTTATCTTGAGTTATGCTGCTAAACTACAAATCTCTGTTAAACTCCTTTATCCTTTGTCCACTTGACTGTTCTCTTTAGTGTTTGACCAGTGATGCTGTGAGTTCCAGAAGATCTTTGCTGAAAATCTTTTCCCCTGTTGTTATCTATTGACAGTGTTTTATGTTGAATATGTAAAATACATTAAAGTCTAAAAACATCTAAACTTTTGTCAATGCATTTCCTTATCTCCTTTTAGACAGATTTTTTTTTTAAAAAGATTTATTTATTTTTATACAGGAACTGGGGTACAGGCCAGAGGTGCGGGAGGGTGAGAGGATTTGCCAGAGACAGAGCAGGGAGCAGAACAGGCACATGATTAGAAATACACTGCTGAGGGGAGCAGCAGGCACGACAGGAAAGGCCTGCAGCACCATGTGGGATTCTTGCCGGCTGGCAGGATCGAACCCACCCTGCCGAGGCTATGGACAAGCTTCACAGCACGGCGCCCAATCCGCTGCGCCACCGGGGAGGCCCCTAGACAGATTGTTTTTATTTTCACTTTATGATGGGAAGTTTGAGTCTAAAAATAGCACTTGATAGAAATAATTTAGTTCAATCAAAGATGTGTAAGATTTGAATCCTTTGCATCCATTTTTATTTTTTTAAAGATGTATTTATTTATGCATACAAGAACTGGGATACAGGCCAGAGGTGTGTGTGGGGGGGATGGGGATTGACTGAAATACAGGCAGATCTACTGAAATACACTGCTGAGGGGAGCAGTGGGCGAGGCAGGAGGGGTCTGCTGTGCCATGTGGGTTGCTCCCTGGCTGGCCGGGCATCAAACTCGTGTGCAGTGGCTGCTGATAGATTCACAGCCCTGTGCTTAACCCTAGCGCCACCAGGGAGGCCCCTGCATCCATTTTAAAAATGATTCATTGCCCTGTGGTTGATTTCCCTTTGCTTTTGGAAAGGATGTTATCAATAAACCTTCCAAACAAATCTCACGGTAGAAAGTTCTATAAACTTTGTCCCATTTATGCAGGAAACATGCCAATAGGACAGTTCTGTGCTATCTTTGTGTTTCATCAGTTTGTGTAAAGAAGATTGTCCTGTCAAACCAGCTTTGTGCCACTAAGTTGCATTAGTTGGTTTCTCCTAGTGGGACTATGCCTCCCTAGTCTTGGTTCTCTTATCTGTAAAAAGGATCGAAATAACTCCTCCACTTCTCTCAGGGGTGTTTAAGAGTTTAAAACAAGGGTACAATGCAGGGGGGTCAATAATAACTACAATAAATGATTAAATAGCCAGAGCCAGCTATTCCAGGTCATAGAATCCAACTAAGTAATTTGCATACCTATTGCAAAGGTGCTGAGAGACAGTGCCAGCCTTCTTCCCTCCTTCCTCGCCCTTTCATATGATGGTTGCAAATCCCTGTGTTTGTATCAGCCCCTGATCTCTGTGGTCTCCACTTATTTCTATTCCCATTGCTACGCCAACTCTGTTTTCCCCTTTGGTGGTATTTCAGCAGCTTCACGGAACTCTGTTCCTACCTAGTCTTGCCAACACCTGCAGTTGGACTATTTCTTCCTCTTGTGCTGCTTGATACGTCAGATTGAGGCTTCTCACTCAGTGAGCACAACTTTGTGGCATCAGCCTGACCTCCTAAGTTTATGATTCTGGATGTGGCATGCATTTGCCCATGCCAGGACACATAAGCCTGGAGTTCTTGCTCTACTTGGCAGACCAACTCCTTCAAGATAACTGCTAATCTAACCTTGTTTGTGTCTCTTCCAGGGGAACCGCTCTTTTCCTTTATTCTTATAAGGATGACCTTTTCATTCCTTTACAGCTCCTCCATTCTGTCCCTCATTGAATGGATGTGTGCTCCCCTGCTGTCCCCACTAGATCAGAGTGGAAGGAACCCTGTTCCTCCATCTCCAGCACCTGGCATCCTGCCTTGTCCTTAGGATGTGCTCGACAGCGATCTATTTAATGAATGACAAGTTTTGCAATGGGTCACGCTGGTCCTCCTGAGTTTTGTACCTGAGCCTGGTGGAAATGCAAATATGATCTCATATACATGGATTTTTTTTAATTTCAGTATAGTATGCAATCCAATTTCATTATATACAAAAATCATCAACCATGACTCTGTGGTTCAATGAGGAAATTTAAAATTGTGGAGGGTTCTGGGCTCATCCTTAAAATCTGTGAAAGCTTGTGGAAAATGGTCAGCAACTGCATTTGTGCTGGCTGCAGGGAGGTTCTGGAGCTCAGGTTGCTGGAAGATGCTGCAATGTAAATCTTGACCTTTGATTGTCTCGAGTGGATGGACTGATTGTAATCTGCTGACCAGATGGAGTGGGGTGGACGTGAAGATAAGGATGCAGTCCCCTGGGTCAGCAGGCTGAGTAGGCAGAGCTGACTGCCTTTCCTTCAAGATTAAAAACTCAGTAGAGGGCCTCCCCTGGTGACTCAGGCGGTTGAGCGCTGTGCTGTGAAGCTGTCTGCAGCCTCTGCAGCGCCGGTTTCATCCTGGCGGGCTGGGGAGGGTCCCACATGGCACGGCAGACCTCTCCTGTCGCGTCTGCTGCTCCCCTCGGCAGCGTATTTCAGTCAGTCTGCCTGTTCTGTTCCCCTCTCTGTCTCTGGTGAATCCTCTCACCTCCCTCACATCTGGCCTGTACCCCGGTTCTTGTATAAATAAATAAATAAATCTTTAAAAATAAATAAATAAAGGCACCAGTCCTTAAAAAACAAAAACAAAAACATAAGGAAAAAACTCAGTAGGCTCGTCTTTTGAACCTTGGGGAATTTCTGTGTGTTGGGAGTGAGGCATGGAGGGGTGGGAGGAATGGCCTCATTTTCCTGGGGATCCTCCAAATTGTACTTCTTTCCCCAAGCTGAATTCAAAGATTTATTTTTCTCCTTCCGCGTTCTTGGCAACACATAATTATTCTAATGCCACCAAAATGAGAAAAAACAAATTTGTCCCCGTGTTCCTCATGTTTACCTCCACATACTGCTTCGTCTCCTATACTGTGGTCTGTTCTTTGCACAAGAAAGAAAACTGTGGTCCATCTCTAACTTTTAATTTCTCTGCTAGTCTGTGTTCATCTAAATAGCCAATGCTGTCTCATCACAACTTAGCTGATGTGGGGAGGTTTGGCAAGCCCTTAGGTGAACTAAGTGAGATAACAAATAATTATTCCCATCTCCCCCTTTTAGAGCAGAAGGAGCCACTAAATCCTGTAAAATGGACAAGATTATTGACAGATTACATGTCCAGTTCTGAGGAAGGCCTTAGCAGGTCTGGCCTTGTATCACACCATGATTAATGTTTTTTGTATTGTGTTCTTTGGAAGGAAAATAAAATGAGGAAGAATTTTCTCACATTTGATAGGAATGAACATAATTAAAAAGTGAAATGCTACTGGGTCTGCAAAGAAATCAATCACTTTAATTGGAAAGAAGTTTCCTTGCTTCTGTTGGTAATTGGGCTCTTGGTAATTTAAAATTGGAATCCATGACAGCTTGTGATAAATTGGCTCCTTTTGGGCTAAAGAAGGTAAGAAGTTCTAATTACCCCTGGATTATTCTAGAGTGGGTGGAAAGACTTGATCAAAGAGATATTGGGAGAGAGATAGAAAAGCTAGCAGTGAGTAAAGATTTATTGAATTTCTTTTTAAGAAGCTAAAGAATAAATAGTTCATTTGATGTGACAAAAACAAGAGCTGTGGTATTTGAAATCCTAGAGATGTAAATTGGATTTTCTAAGAAAATAAGGAACTGAGCAGATTTGAAAAGTTTATGCACCGGAAAGTACCATATAGTTAGTTTATAAAATTAGCTTTGCTGACTTGTTAGTGCAGGAGGATATTGACAAACTTGGGTTTCACTGGGGGAAAATATGGAATTTGTACTTTGAGTCTTTAAACATAGAAGTAATCTGCACTAAATTTAAGGAACTCCAAAATCAAATGAAAACATGTTAGTAGAAAGGTAGACAGGATCCTAATTAGTGAATTTACTGACCCCTATCGCCACTGATATCCTAGCATTTGTTTCTATACATTTATTGCCTAAAAATACCTATGGAATAGGCTGGGTTTTAGGTTGATATGCTAGGTTATACATTTATTTCTGGTTGGGTATGTTTTTTTAATATATCTATAGATAGGTATAAACATAATTTCAAATTAGAGAAAAGATGCAAGATGAATACAAAGAACTCTTGTTTAGGCTTTACCTAGGTTCAACAATTATAATATTTAGCTTTATTTGTTTTGACATTCATTGTCTTTCAATATATACATATTTTTCCCCCTAAGTGATTTCTGGGTGAGTTGGAGAGACTGCATCTTTTACCTCTGAATGGGGTTTAGTTCCTAAGAAC